GGTCCATGTAGTCTGCTGGGGATTCTCCTTTATTTTGTTTACAGTTATGTATTTTGGCCCAGTCAGTTTTCCTGGGGCAAATTTTAAGCACAGCCTCAAGGAGGCATCTTCGGGCATCTGCTAAGTGATCTCCTATTCTGGGGTCTTGAGTAGGCCAAGTATCCTGTGCAATGAGGCAGTTGTGGACCTCAGAGGGCAGAACACTTCTCATTAATTCGTTCAGATCTGCCCATATTGGATTATAACAATGGATTACAGTGTCTAATTCATTTCTAAATTTTTGGGGTTCCTCTCTGATGTTGGGAAATTGTTTAACAAGGTTTAGGAGATCTCCTGGGGTCCAGGGGACAGGGACTGTGATTGTAGTTTCCCCATTTGCACTTTGCCCTGGAAGTTGATGTAAAGGCATAAGCTGAGCCTTTTAAATTTTAAAGAAGGGGCTGGACCATACTGGGTACCAGACCTTAAAGAAGAGGTGGGGGTTGAGATTTCAGGAGACAGATGCCATGCCTACGGTGGATGTGGGCATGCCCCAAGGGCAGGTGACGATTGTTGAGTGATAGTTTTCTGGTGAGGTGGGCTAATCCTGCTGGAAGAATCTATTTGGTTACTTTGGACTTCTTCAGGTTCAGATTGTGCCTGGGGCTGATATGGGGGTCGCACATTAAGAAAATAAATTATATCTTCTGCAGATTCATTCTCAGTTATTTGTGGATAAAGTTGTTTTGGTGCTGATGGTATTATTGATGGGGAGCCCCCTTTTGGTGCACTTTTCTGTTTTAATTCTTTTATCTGAGATTTCAGTTTCTCTTGGGAGTCCTTAAGTCTCTGAACTTGAGATTTTTGACATCTTTTGAAAGTTTCTTCATACCAATTAAAAAATGTGTCCCACTGAGTCTGTGGTACATTACTAACTCTTAACTCAGGTCTCTGTGGAGATGAACAATTTTACTTAATTCATATGTTCCTTCCAGGGGAAACTGCTGGCTAAAATCATCTCTGGTATACCAATTCCATTTGTCTACAAACTTAAAACTTTTATGGCCATAGTGTGTGTGCGTGTACAATGCTGGAGTCCCTTTTCGCAGAGCTGGTATGTCTTTAGACTCTCCACTTCCCATATCTTTAAACTCAATTCACACTGGTCTTTTATACAGGAATGGTTTATTGAGGGTGTCCAGTCAGGTTGTGAGATTTGCTAGCGGCACAGAGAAGCTGTGGCTAATGTCCAAAGACAAGACTCTACTGCAATAACAGCACACCATGCAGTTACTCACGGTTAGACATGGCTCATTTATGAGGGTGGGGAAAGGGTAAACCTGTCCACTGGGTCTTGAGGTTCCAGTTGGGCCCCCTTGCATTCAAAACTGCCCTTTCTGACAGCCTTGGGGTGGCTGAACCCAACCTTAGTCTCAGACCTGATCAGTGGCTCATATTTCTTAATTCATACTCTCAATTCACACAAGGGAATTTCTGTGTTGAGGCACGAGGTTCAAGAGCATTTCTTTAGTCTCAGCCTTGGTCAACGCTTATCGTGGAAAACACTCACACTCTAATGAAGAGTTTCCATCTTACACCCTTGTTTTCGAAGAGCACACAGAACAAATCTGTTGTCTTCAGGGCGGCTGTACAAGGTTTCCACTCCTGGCCTCAGAGAGATCTCATAGTTCTTTACAGAACTTAACTCAATTCACATGGGGGAATACTTTCATTGACAACAGCAACACAGAGTCTTTAACTTTAACTCTTTCTACTCACAGTTACTACTTACACAATGGGTCTGACAGTTCTGGCACAAAAAAAGTTTGGATAGGGTGAGCCTCAAGCAGTGAATCAGGAAGACACAGAGACAGCCTCTCACTGAAAAACCCCAATAGAGATTTCAAAAGGTCTCTTACCTTGGTTTGGCACCTAGGCTTCAGTGAAGAGATGTCTGTGTCCCAACTGATCACTCCGGGTATCTCTATCCGAGTCACGGCACCAAATTGTGGAAGAAATCAAACTTCGTGTTGTGGTTGAATCAGAACTGACAGAGCCAGCTTTTCTTTAATTAGGGTTATACTGTGATCACAGGGAGGATTTCATACAGCAAGGGGAATCACCCACTTGTCTGTTTCAAAGGAATCTTCCCTCTCTATAAGTTTACAAGCATATTTATACTTAAGACAGAGAAAGAGAAAAAAAATACGACCTTGGAGAAACCGAAACAGGCATGCAGGCAGTTTACTTAAATGAACATCTGTGCAGAGTAATAAGGCATGCAGGATTCCTCATCTAAGAACATGTAACTGAAATGAGCAGTATCAGCACTTTTGGTCTCTGTCTGTTTTTCTAGTCAAGTAGGGCAGAAGCCTGACTAAATTTATTACCACACCCCGCTCTCAGTGCTGTCACACCTGCAACAGCACTGGGAGCAGGGGCTCTGCCTTGCTGCTGCTTGCCAAAACTTGACTTAAACTGCATTCAATGAAATATTTATCATTGAACAAAAACCTTTTATATTATGTGTGTGTGTGTGAATACAAGTTAATTTGTTGCAAATACCATTTCAATATATTGTTTTTCTTATGAAGTAGTAACAGTGTTATGAAAGATTTATGTGCTACATGCTATTCTAAGTATTCCTTTTTGTTTTTTGCAGATCAATGTACGAGTTACTACAATGGATGCGGAGTTGGAATTTGCCATCCAACCCAATACAACTGGCAAGCAGCTCTTTGACCAGGTAACCATTTTATGATCTATAGCTATCTGCAGTGGATGTCCTGGTACAGTGCTATAAATGGTAGAGTACAGTCAGAAGCACCTGTCCATCCCTTCAAGTTGATACTTTTTATTGATCTAACCCATACTAATATCCAGTAGGCCTGCATAACTAGGTAGCTATTCGATTCGGCTTCGTATCCGGCTGCTTTGGATGTCAGCAATCTGATCCGGAGCTCCAGACTGGGTTTCCACTTCGATCCTGCCGAAGTGGCTCTGAAGCTTTGGAGCCGCCTCAGAGAACTGGCCATAGGGTATAATGGAGAATCAGTGAAATATCTATAACTTCCTTGTTTTTTGTCTGATTTGGATGCAACATGCCGGGGTGATAGCCTCTGCAGAGAGCATGAAGCCTGCCAAGTTTCAAGAA